TTTCTAGCTCGTTATACTGTACCTGTAGCTATCCCATTACTCTTTCTCATTTTGTCCAAAACCCAAAAGTCCAGAACTAAGTTCCGGCAAATCTTACTACATTTCCCATCAGCCTCAGCTTTGAAAAAAAATGACATGAGTGAATAACAAAAAAAAAAAAAAAAAAAGTAAATGCTTCACCACTAGAATGCATTTGTAGCAGTATAGACAGTATCAAAAACATCAGCATCACCAACTAACCAAAAATAAAAAACAGTAGCCGAAGATATGAATCCATTCTGGTCCCCTCAAAGTTGTCTGGAGGGGCTGCTTAGATCAACCCCATATTTTTTTATTTAAATCCTGAATCCTTTACACTGACCTCTCCACTTTCACAGTTAGTGCTCATACCTAATCAGCTGCAGTCGCTTAGTGATCAGACCTGCTGGTGGATTATCAATTAGTTTATCTCTTTCGAGCTTTCCTATCTGTCCCTGGTTTTCATCGTTAATGGTTTCTTACTTTTTATGTTGGAATAATCTTGTTTCAGATACATTTACTCAACTCTTTCATTGGCCTCATTGATTTATTATTTACTATCCGAGCTTCCCACTGACGCCTGTTCCTACTTTGTTTTGCTGACTGTATTTTCCTAAGGGGCAGGTGGTCCTGTCCAAGCCTCGCTGTACAGACTTGTGGCGATGGTGGTTGGGGGGGGGGGGTTGCTAATATGAGGCTTTCAACATCTAATCCGGAGCAAGTCTCTCAGAAAAAAAGCTTATCCAGGGACTCTCCATTTTTAATTCTTTCCTCATCTGCAGGAGCAAACAGCTTTTAGCACGAGTTATTATTAAAAAGCACTTGTTTGTTAGAGCTAATTCAATACCTTGCTTCAGTCAATTGTTCCCCCCTCTACACCGGAAAAACTTGCTTGGTTATCATCACCCTATACCCCCCCACTGCCCCTGCCTCATTGCTGACAAATCCATACAACTATGTGGGACACAATGGCTCGGATTTAGCTGCCGGGCCGAAGCGAGGACGGGCCGGGTGGGGGGCAGGGCCGGCATGGAAATTTCTGTTGTTTTTGTCACAGCACAGATTTCAGACAAATCAAAACAACTGCCACCATCCTGCGCCCACCCTGCCAAACCCCCTTCCTCCCCCACCATAACCCACATGACCTGTGACCAGTCATCACTTTTATGTTGGAAATGCAGCCAGATGAGGGGTGGTCAGTGCGGTGGTGTGGTGCAGAGGCTGCGTGTGCACCCGGGACGAGGGGTTCATTGTTGAAAAAGAGCTGACGGCCTGGATGGGATCTCATTTGATGGGCAAAAATATTGACATAACTATAAATGCAATCACTCGGTGATTGGAAATAGCACAAAGACAACATATCAGTCATTAAAACTGGAAATCTTTATGCACATTTTGTAATTAATGGCAGCAACCCATTTCAAAAAGTTGACTCAAGGTCAGGTTTACCTCTCTGTTGAATCAAGTTTTCTCCTTACAACACTCTGTGCTGGTTTCTGGATCTGATCAGACCACTCTCATTTTGAAAGAGGAATGTTTAATCATTCTTGCTTAATGTAGGTTTCAGCTGTTCAAAAGTTTAGGGTCTCCTTTGTTTTATTTTACGCTTCATTGTGCTCCAAACATGTTGGGAAGTCGGGACTGCAGGAAGGCAGCATATGTCCCTACAAAACCTGTAAATATGTCTCAGCATTAATGGTGGCTTCACCAATGTGCAGGTTTCCCATGTCATGTGCACTAATGTACCCTCGTACCACCCAGCTCAGAGAACAGGGCGTCCAAAGTTTCCAAACAGAAATTCAACAGTTGACTGGTTAGACTGTATAGGAAACGTTTCCACTTCGCTTCAGTCCATTTTAACCGAGCCCAGACCCAGAGATGGTGGCAACATTTCTGGCTCTATATTGCCTTTTATCCTGCAAACAGAGATTTCTTCAGATTCTCTGAATATAAAATTACATTATGTACACAATGGAATCCCTATATTCGTTACAACTTGTTTGCCAGTTAACCTTGTGATATGTGAGATGTTCCATCAGATATTTACTTGAAGCCTTTCACAACTTTTCCAGTCTCTCATCACCTCTGTCCCAACTTTTTTGAAATGTGATGCTGGCATCAAATTTAAATTGGGCATGTCATCGTACGTGTATTTGTCCTATTCTTTTCTCTCTCAACACATCAGGTTTTCTATGCAGGCTTTCTTTCAAGTGTGAAGCGGAGTGAACTCTGATGATAATCATATGCCAGCACAGAAGGTGTTTTTTAAAAGCCAGGGCGATATTATACAATTTTTTTCACAGGTTGATTGATGGTTAAACTTCAATTCAAATTGATGATGTAGCCTGCACTTGTTCTTATTCACAGATTGGATTAAACCCTCATATCTTGTATAAAAACTTTGGACTGATGGCAATGAAGCCCTGTGACAATTGTCTCCATCATAGACACCAACACATAGTGGATGTATTAAGCACCAAACTCAATATGTGACTTATGAATAGTTCTCTGGGCTTCTGAGTGTGCCAGTCTTTCATTAATGCAGGACTTGAGAATGTGTTTTTTGTCCTGCGAGACAGAATTATGAATGACATTATGCAATGAAGGTAAAGTCATGAAGATAGTCGTCCAAAAAAATGTAGGGCTACAGACATCAGGCAGTTAGTTTGTGTGGTTGACTGCCAACCTGCAGACATCGATAAGACTTCAGAAAGCAGCTGCTGCCAGCCTAGATGTTATCTGGCCAAAAAACAACAACAATAAACATATTTTTAGTAACACTTTCGTTTGTGGACAAGTTAACTCTTACATACTGTTCATATTCAACACCTTCACAATTCGCTGGTAAGTGTAAGTGTATTTTATTCCACATTTTGAACTACAAATCTATAGAGAGTGCATACATATGTCTTGAGTGTCTTAAAATAATATAATAATAAAACAAGGTGTTCTATCTACATGAGTTCACGTTTCATTTTGAGATACTCAACAAATACATTTTGCTTGCTTGAATGTGGCTGAAAGCAAGTGTAATATTTTTGACAAGAAAATAGACACTAACACTTTACACTTGCTTATAAATGTGGGTGTTTGCAGAGCATTTTCCTTGATTTGATATGGATCAAATTTGACCTGGAAAAGCCACACAAATTTAAAGCACCTCTACAACAGTATAAACATTATAAGACAACTTAACTCATGTTTATTTTGGGTCATAAAAAGGAAAAGTCATCAAATTACAGGCTTGAACAATGAGGGTGTCTTCACTGCTGGCAAATGCCAAAATGGGTCAAATTTGTCGGCAACAGTGTGTAAGGGTTAAATTAGCTGTTTTCCTTTCTTTTCAGTTTTTATGCTAAGCTATGCTAGCCTTGATATACAAGACATTTGGGACGTGCTATTGACCTTCTCATTCGATTAAAAAAAAAAAATCATGACAAAGGGGCATCTAATTCATTTGTTGATGCTTAGGCTTAAGCCTGTCAAAAAAAAAGTCGCTAATTTAGGATGCAAACTAAATATGGACTAAAGGATAATGGTTACGAAACGTTCGACTATTGATTATCTGAGGTAAATTAAGTTAATGCTGTAGTCCCTGGTGTTTCCTGTTAGGTAACAAGGGGCGGCTACAGTGGAGTAGAGATGAGCAGAGAAGAGGGGCCAATCAATGAGGTCACTGAATCATGATTTATTATACAGCACCGGGCCATTAGTGTCACACATGCTTTGTCACACCATGAAGAGATTGCGTGTCTGTGTCTATCCAACAGGGTTTGGCCTGTGGACTAATGCTAAGTGGTTGGGAGGCTTTTTCTGACATGAGGGGGAAACACGGCGTCCCGAGGGGCTGCAGGGATGATGGTTATGTCAGCCGAAAGCTTGGGATTGGTTGACATATAAAAAATGAAAGAAAACGGAGCGTAAAGCGTGCGCGACCTTTTCATGTTTGGTATTCAAACCAAAACTGTTTGAAAAGAATAAATGCATACATAAAAACACAAATGAAAGGAATAGTTGTTACTTTTGGAAATGCGTCTGTTTGCTTTCCTCTTGAGGGTTTTAATGGGTTGATACCAGTATTACATCTATCCACTAAATATTAAGCAAAAGCAAGCAGCTGCTTAGCTTAATACTACAAACAGGGGGGAAGCAGCTGGCCTGTCTGTGTCAAATGAGCTACCAGCAACTGTAAAGCAATGCCACATCTTGTTTTTTTTTGTTATCAGTATGAAAAAAGGTCTGGAAGAAAAAAGTTGTTTTAGAGTCCGAAATGGTGACCCAGACTAAGAAAAATCTAGTCAGTAGCCTATAGGCCTATATGAGCAACCTGAAAAATGTATAGGCTACTTGAAGTGGGAGCCACTCATGCCTGTTCTCTTACATAAGCTAACCAGCTGATATCGGCAGCTCTATGTTGAAAATAGATAGGCGTATGAAAGACTCAGCCTCTGGGGCAAAACATATTTCAATTTCCTCAAAAGTTAAGGATGCATTTTCAAATGACATGTGGAACTCTCGCTTTCTAAAGAAGCTTACATTTAAAAAAAAAAAAAATCAATTATGCTGCAGCTTGGGCTCCTCATCAAAGAGGTATCAGAGTAAAGGGACCACCTCACTCATTCATGTAACCTTGAAATGACCTGAGGCGTTCACACACACACACACACACATATATACCATGAAGCTTATCCACCTGTTCCGTCATCATTGGAACAAACAAAAAAAAAAAAGAGTGGAAATACTGCCTTTGCTGTGTAACCACGGCAACTCCTCCCTCAAAATGCAACATCACCAAAGCCCCCCCTTCGCGTGAACCCAGCGGGAATGGATGGATACATTACCTGGCTTTATTAATAAACCTTCCGGATCACGTGGTGAGCCCAGCCCAGCACATTATTCTGCTACACTAGCAAGGTATTTTTCGACCGGGTGCTTTTTTTTTTCTTTTTTTTTTTCTCTCCTCTCATCGAAAACGGGAGGGATGCTGCTGCTGCTGCTGCTGTGAGGGAGAGAGGTGAGCGCAGTTGGAAAAGCATCCTCCCACCCCACCACCACCACCACCACCACCCCTCCCTCCAAGAGCTCCTCCTCTGTCGTCGGAAAGCGGACGACCGGTCACATTTACTCAATGAGAGCAAGAGGGCACCGGAGAGGATTTCCTAATTCCTACCTGCTGCTGTGCCGTGTGGCTGTTTTTTCGTCTCTGTGAAAGGTAAGGCATGACAGCGTGCGCAGCCTCTTCTCCTCTCAGGGGGAGAAAACTCTGATGTTGGGGCTGTATGGCTCGTACATGACGGCTTGTCGTCTGTTGTGTGATGATGGCACAGCTGAAAGGGCGAAGGCTTTATTGAAGGACAGGGATGGAGAAGAGTTGTCAGTGGAGCTGGTATGTCAGAAATTCCGTTTTAATTTAAAAGCAGCAGGGCTGTGCATCTCTGAAAAGTCAACCAGGACAGGATGTGTGGTGTGTGTGTGTTTTTTTTTTTTTGTTGTTTTTTTTTTTTTCTGCTTCTACCTGAGCAGCAGCGTCATAGCGTTTACCATTTTCACTCACTGCAGCCAAGTGATGTCCGTACACCGTTGGCCCTCTCATTTTGTGAGGTTTTTTTTTCCTCAGGTAAAAACAGCAGGTTTCCCATGTTGACTGCGAGTCGTCACAAATGGAAACTGACATTGTTAGACTAGTAGAACCATCTACATATTGAAGTTTTCAGTCTGTTTGCTGCATGCTGCGTTTTTTTTTTTTTTTTTTTTTTTTAATTTATCGTGATTTACGAGAAATTCCAATCCCTGAAAACCCTTTTTGTTTTTCATTTTAATTAAATGCCCATAACCTAATCGTCAACACAGACTATCATCGCCTATAAAACAAGATTTGCGTAAGATTGAACAAACTCTTGATTATTGTTCCAAGTTGTTCTCCTGGAGGGTAATTATTTAATTGTGCTGTGATAGTAAAAACAATATTGGAAGAATGGAAGAGATGCACATTTAAGCTGACTATTCCACATATCTGCATTACATTGTTGTTTGGCGTTTGCTCTCCACAAAGAGATGTTTTTAGGCAGTGGGCAGGAGGAGATTAGTCCTGACTTGTATCTGACTTTTCCAGGGCAACAATGATTATTGGTTTTTCCATCTGTTAAGCTTTTTTTCAAAATTCTGCAAAAAAAAAATGACAATGAGAGCTATTAACTTTCTGTTGGTTATGTAATTGATTGTTTAGTTGTTTGTCACATTTAGAAACTGATTCTTTAAAACCTTGTTCACCCAATATTCAAACAAGCCCATTTACTTTAATGGTATTTATTAGAGCTCAGTTGTTGGGTTTATTTCCTGGCTGAATTGTAATGCATTCTTCATTCTTTGACATTGTCCAGCAGAGGCTAATATGAAGACATCATTTGGCAAACCAGACCCTGGGAAGCACCTACGATCTCATCAGCTCATTTGAAACTGAAGACAACACCATGCACTGTCTCCGGTAAAATCCTGTTCCCCACTCTCCCCTCTTCCTACCAAGCGTTTGAGAGCGAGGACACGACACGCTGCACAGACATGGCTTCAGATCAGCCCTGCATGGATTCACTAGAGAAGAGCAGGCCCATGTTGGGCGCTGCCTGTAAGCGCCAGGCCTACCGGTGTCTACGGAAAAAACTGAGGCCGGTACGGATCTTAGGGTTCGTCTTCAGCCTGATGGCCATAAGTGCTGTCTCCCTCAGTGCCTTGACCTGGAGCTCAGGGGGTCAAAGCGAGGAGAGTCTGCAAGAGTCAGTTCCCCACAGGACTCTACTTTTCACCCAACCCCAGACAGACCCCAATGCATCAGCCGACATGCCAATAGCCATGAAATCTACAGCAGATAGCAATAAGAGCCAGGGGGATTACCCAAGAGACCTTTTTACCCTTGATGAGAGGCGCCAAGGAGCAGTGGTCCTCCACATGTTCGGCATGATATACATGTTCATCGCCTTAGCCATAGTGTGTGACGAGTTCTTCGTCCCAGCTCTGACGGTCATCACGGAGAAGCTGACCATTTCGGACGACGTTGCAGGTGCCACCTTCATGGCGGCTGGCGGCTCAGCCCCAGAGCTCTTCACCTCCATCATCGGCGTCTTCATCTCGCACAGCAACGTGGGCATCGGGACCATCGTAGGCTCCGCCGTCTTCAACATCCTCTTCGTGATCGGAATGTGTGCCATCTTCTCCAAGGAGATCCTCAACCTGACGTGGTGGCCGCTGTTCCGCGATGTCTCCTTCTACATCCTGGATCTGATCTTGCTTATCATCTTCTTCCTGGATAACGTAATCTCGGTGTGGGAAAGTGCCACGCTGCTGTCGTGCTACGCCGCCTACGTGATCTTCATGAAGTTCAACAGCAACATGGAGGGCTTCGTAAAAAGTTGCATGAACAAGAACCAAGTGGTAGAAGTGGAAGTACAGCCCAAGGTGAGTTGAGTTCTGGATCTATTCTGTGTATTAATTATATGTGTTTATATATATTTTTCACCATAATTTTCTCTATGAAATGTTGTTTGACACATCAGTCTATATGATCAAGCGGAAATGCAGTAATGAGTTTTGTATTTTGGCTGACAGAATTGACGTTCAACGTCTCTTCTGGCCTTGAAAACATTCATCCTCTTTCACATCACATGCAGCAGATTTGAATAATTCAGGCTTACTTTGACTTTGTTTTCAACCCAGCCAAAAATAAAACCATGTTGTTCCTAGAGACATGGTTTTTATTCCAGCATCTTTTCTTGGTTCCAATCAACCACTTCCGAATGAGACCGATTCAGCGCACATTTCCCACACATCAAACATATCCTTCCTGAGACCACCCTACACCATAGACAATCAGTTTAAATGGATAAACCTCAGTGGCTGAGAGCTTCTTTCACCAACCACTTTGACCATTGTATATTCATGTGGCCTAAGAGATACTGTACACGGCGGGTCTCACAGTATTCCACTGTGGGATTAATAAAAAAAAGGAGTCAAATGTGTAATTCTGGGTTAAGCTCTACAAATTGTGTCCCCGTCTGACAAACAAATCCCTCGGAAAAAAGCAGGAGTTATTTTTTTTTCCTCAGGCGAAGATTTCCTTCAAAATACTGCTTTTAAAATATTTGCTTCAACATGAAACGCATGCAACCCAATAGCGTCAACCACATACATGAGTGGACTTTAGGATTGCTGCTGTAGTATTGCTTTTTCGAGCTATGCTCCATATTTAGCTTCAAGAGAGCTTGAGTCATTCGATGCAGAATGTAAGGTGTTGATCAGTAGCACAATCAGTAAGAGTTAAAAACAGTCTAAAACCATTGTGTCGCTTAACATAGCATCCCTCCCCCTCAATGACACTTGAGGGCAAAATACACTGCAGTGCAATTTGATACTGGTGTAGAGATTATCCGGACGGATTTAGATTTATTTGTAACATGAAATGGAAATGAAATTTTGAGAAAGTTGCATTGTAAAGCTTTAATTAAATGGGGATTTATTCTGAGTACATAAAGGATATTTAAACTGTTTGTTACACAATGATGGGAGGAAAACTCTCAAGGATCCAAGGTGGTCATTTGATATGGAGTTTATTTTAACCAGAATGTTTGATTTTTATTCCAAAAGCAAGCAGGACAATAATTACAGCCTGTAAGTTTTACTTCTCCCATAGCTCTTTTATTTTGGCAAGTATAAGAAAAGACAGAAAGGAGGCAGGCATTCTAAGTGCTAGAGAAGACTTAGGTGACCTTGAGCTGCAGTGCATTCTGGGTACTTTGGCTCAAAGAGCCTTGTGTGTATGTGTGTGTTGGGAAAACAAACTTTCAATAAGGGGGAAAACAGATGAGCAATCAAACCCCGCTATCATGTCTTATCTCCTGCTACACTAGCTGCAGATGTAGCTTCTCCTCATTCGTCCCCTCAGCACCCTGCTTTGAAATCACAACACTTAAAATGCATGAAAGTAATGACTTCTTTGGGGGGGGGGGTCTACAGGGTTAATCGAACTGGAATGGCACACAAAAACATCTAAACAGCAGTTTTTAATCAAGTATAGACACTTTGGGGACGCGTATATATTTTAAGACTAGTGTTATTTTGAGATTTAATTGGCAATTTAGCAGGCCTGTGTGTGCCTGTGTGTGCCTGTGTGTGTGTGTGTGTTTAAATTCATATATGAGTAATGGAGAGCAAAATGGCAGGGCAAGGACAAGGATGAGTGAGTTGGCTCATAAAGGTGTCCTGCGAAATCTGATACAGAGTCTGGCTCTTTGCTTTTTTTTTTTTTTTTTGGTCTTTTTATTTTTAGCTGACATTCACTACTGTGAACTGTGAGTTCTTTTTTTAAAATAATTTCCCTGTCACAATTGAGCTCCAAGGTCTCCTTAATCCTCAATACATTACCGTTCAGGTGTGACGTACTGCAATGTAAGGACCCATTGGGTGTCATTTGACGCGGTGCCCTTGAACTAAACACTTGATTGAAATGGGCTTCCCTGAGATTATTTCATGCATTATGATATTGGGATGTTCCTGTTGGGTGTAACATGCTAGCATAGACAGAAACACAGGCAGTCAGCAGGGGAAAGGGAAGCAGTGTTGTGGTGTCACATTAAAGATAAGAGTGTATAGGGTGCTTGCTCGGTAATTGGCAGTCAGCCATTAACAAGACATGCTATAAATACCATGTAAAATTTAATTCTTGAACTAGCATGGACAGCAGTGTGACTTTCAGAGACACCAGTCAATTTTGCACTGTCTGCGACCGCTTCCTTTTTTATCTCCTTACATAACTGCTTGTACTGCTTTATCTTCTTCCTTTTTTTTATCGACACCAAAAGTTCATTTTGTGTAACTTGTTTATTCTGCTTCTGGGAACATAAAAATAGATTGCTTTGTTTCTCTTATTTTCCCAAAAATAATGCCTCAGCTTCGAGGCAGAGAGTTTAATAGTAAATCAGGGCTTGCTGTTCCATCATTTGACAGATCAGAGGAGTCTTTTTTTTTTGTTGTTGTTGCCCAGGGACGAGGTGTACCGTCATCAATATGACACAAACAGAACTGTCAGACCTCAGTGTGAATGTAAGGTCTATTTAAAGCCATTGTTTTAAAGCTTTCTAATGGCTGGGCTCCTCCTCTGCAATCTACAATAATCTCTAAATCCAGTTAACACGACCATAAATGCGCCATAAGGCTTTGCACTTAGACTGACATACAGCTAAATAGGAAAGAAAGTGCCTTGCTTTCAGAACAATAGGCTTTCGATGGCTAAATGGGAGGATGTTCAATATCTAATAGTTTGGAAAGTGATGGCATTTGGATGTAAATAAATAAAGGTTGTAAATCTTAGTTGTGCAGGCTTTAATAAATTCATACTTGAATAGCTTGATGGCATCTTGATATTGATGACTGTGAACTAATTAAATGTAACCCTGCTTTAAGTGATTTTCTGTCCACCAGGGGTCAGTTGGTACTGGCTGTAAAGTCAACATTCAGACATCAAATTGACTTTTGAAGTTAATCTGGTGACATTTTTAAAATAGTTATGTTTTTCTCTTGGAGCAGAAGTGGCTAACGTTGGCTCTGATGTTTAGTGGTGGGCAAGTCCCATACAGATGTTTTTGTTTTTTGGAGCTAATTAAAGGTAGCACAATGAGCGCCGTGAAAAGGAACAAGGGAGTAAGGTTGCAGGCAAAAAAAACTTAAAATGGGCTGAAAGACGCTAAAATGCACGGATAAAGTTAGACTACAGATGAGTTACAACAAATAGCTGATGACACATTGGTTTTCACCTGATTGCCCGAGTGGTGTGAATGCCTTGGCTATGTGCTAAGAGCTTTATTTCATAGGTCAAATGTTTGCCTGGTGGGTGTTAATCAACCTTCAAAACATAACCATAAAAACACAATTTACAGTGCAGCTGAGTTAGAAGGATGTAGTTACCTGATTGTTGTGGAATACTTTGCTGCTGGTTGACTCACGAAAAGGGAAGGGGTTCTCCAGTAATCAGAGTGTCTCTTTGGCACATGATGGTTTTCTACTTTTCATCAAACCACCTTTGAATCTTGCGAAAATGTTGACAAGACACTAATTTCAAGGGCAACACAAGACAGTTGCCTAATGCAAGGTACATTTTAATCACCAGCATTCTTGTAATAAATACTACCTTTCATAATGCTTCAAAATGTCAACCTTTGTTACAAATGTGTGAGGCTATGGTCAGTGTGTTTTGTTGTGCTTGCAGTGGTGTGGTATGGTGTGTGCTGTTACCTCGTCTCATCTGTCAAGTCAGTCCTCCTCAGCTTTAATGCCAACAGTTGACAACTTGTCACACACCCTGGTCCTGAGCGACAGGGGTTCATAGGCCAAAGATAGCTTCTTTTTGACTGTGTTGCTGCTCTTGATTGTTGCAAGTTCTCTCCTCCCTGAGATTCTTAGGCTGTTGATGCGGTCCAAGTCGACTCGGGCCAATGCACAAAGGTCTGATTGCTGAACACTAGGTCACACTGTGTGTACGTGAAGGGAGCAGAATAGTTCACCAATGGGTCTGTTCCACATCATCTGAAAACGTCTCACACTTACACACACTGTAAATCATCACCGACTAAAGAAAGACACTTCAAGGTCACAATAGAGATAAAAGGCTTTCATTTTTTTGCCTCACAAGCAAATCGGAGGATCGGTAAATTGCAAGCTGGAGGATGATTAATATTACCATAGGTTTAGATTTCTCCAGCCATTTTCACTGAAAAAGCAACAGAAGTGTGTGTAGTTGAGTTGACGCAGCATGCTGCTGATGATGCCCCACTGAAACAATCATGGGTCCAACATTTTTTTTCTTTTTTGGCTTTCTGTGTGCAAAAAAAGAACAGTAAGTCCAGCCAATCAATGCTGGCAGTGACTACGTTGAGGTAGCAATTTGCTTCCCAATGTCAAGGACTTTTTCTTCTTTTAACTTTTGTACTTAACCCCTTTAAAAATGGTTTCAAAAAAGGCCATTTAATGACGACAAGCCAAATTCTAAAAAGCAACAAAGAAGACTTGCTTTGTCTTTACATGTCATCGTACGCACATCCCCCTCCCCTCACTGTCCTCAGGACCACCTCACCAGGCCGACCTCAGCTTATCTTGTCATCTTGTGGCCTCTCTCATTGTTTGGCTGATGGACTGACTGGCTGCTTTTGAAAATACTGGCCCCGGCAGATGAGATTAGCCAGCACTTTGTGCACTATGGTTTTATGAGAGACAGAGGAGTATAGTGAGGAGCCCTCTGACCACTTGTTCAAATCATGGTGACACACTGGAAGTCAGTCAGTTAGGATAATGAAGTCGGAGTGTCTATGTCATTTCAAAGGCAGCAGCAAACCCAACAAAGGAATATCTAGCATAGGAGCAGTGAGTATCATTTTACGACAGCGTAGTTACATTAAAAACAAGAGGAA